ATCAGAAACCAACTTCCACGAATAGGAAACTGTCTAAATCAGAAACCAACTTCCACAAATAGGAAACTGTCTAAATAAGAAACCAACTTCCACGAATAGGAAACTGTCTAAATCAGAAACCAACTTCCACGAATAGGAAACTGTCTAAATCAGAAACCAACTTCCACGAATAGGAAACTGTCTAAATAAGAAACCAACTTCCACGAATAGGAAACTGTCTAAATCAGAAACCAACTTCCACGAATAGGAAACTGTCTAAATCAGAAACCAACTTCCACGAATAGGAAACTGTCTAAATAGGAAACCAACTTCCACGAATAGGAAACTGTCTAAATAAGAAACCAACTTCCACAAATAGGAAACTGTCTAAATCAGAAACCAACTTCCACGAATAGGAAACTGTCTAAATCAGAAACCAACTTCCACAAATAGGAAACTGTCTAAATCAGAAACCAACTTCCACGAATAGGAAACTGTCTAAATCAGAAACCAACTTCGACGAATAGGAAACTGTCTAAATCAGAAACCAACTTCCATGAATAGGAAACTGTCTAAATCAGAAACCAACTTCCACAAATAGGAAACTGTCTAAATACGAAACCAACTTCCACGAATAGGAAACTGTCTAAATCAGAAACCAACTTCCACAAATAGGAAACTGTCTAAATCAGAAACCAACTTCCACGAATAGGAAACTGTCTAAATCAGAAACCAACTTCCACAAATAGGAAACTGTCTAAATCAGAAACCAACTTCCACGAATAGGAAACTGTCTAAATACGAAAAATAAGTGTATATATGGTGAAAAAAACAATATAAGACAAAGTGCTACAATCACCAGCAATGTGGGTCACTCCACCTCACATAAATAAATGGTTAAAACAGTAAAAAATGGTGAGAGCACAGAGAAACAATAATTACCCTTATATTCAATATAAAACCTGTAAAAACACAATGGGAAACTGTCTAAATACGAAACCAACTTCCACGAATAGGAAACTGTCTAAATCAGAAACCAACTTCCACGAATAGGAAACTGTCTAAATAGGAAACCAACTTCCACGAATAGGAAACTGTCTAAATACAAAACCAACTTCCACGAATAGGAAACTGTCTAAATCAGAAACCAACTTCCACAAATAGGAAACTGTCTAAATAAGAAACCAACTTCCACAAATAGGAAACTGTCTAAATACGAAACTAACTTCAACGAATAGGAAACTGTCTAAATAAGAAACCAACTTCCACAAATAGGAAACTGTCTAAATACGAAACCAACTTCCACAAATAGGAAACTGTCTAAATCAGAAACCAACTTCCACGAATAGGAAACTGTCTAAATCAGAAACCAACTTCCACAAATAGGAAACTGTCTAAATACGAAACTAACTTCAACGAATAGGAAACTGTCTCAATAAGAAACCAACTTCCACGAATAGGAAACTGTCTAAATACGAAACCAACTTCCACGAATAGGAAACTGTCTAAATCAGAAACCAACTTCCACAAATAGGAAACTGTCTAAATCAGAAACCAACTTCCACAAATAGGAAACTGTCTAAATAGGAAACCAACTTCCACGAATAGGAAACTGTCTAAATCAGAAACCAACTTCAACGAATAGGAAATGGTCTAAATCAGAAACCAACTTCCACAAATAGGAAACTGTCTAAATCAGAAACCAACTTCCACGAATAGGAAACTGTCTAAATCAGAAACCAACTTCCACGAATAGGAAACTGTCTAAATAGGAAACCAACTTCCACGAATAGGAAACCAACTGGAAACTGTCTAAATCAGAAACCAACTTCCACGAATAGGAAACTGTCTAAATCAGAAACCAACTTCCACAAATAGGAAACTGTCTAAATCAGAAACCAACTTCCACGAAAAAATAGAAACCAACTTCCACGAAACTGTCTAAATCAGAAACCAACTTCCACGAATAGGAAACTGTCTAAATAGGAAACCAACTTCCACGAATAGGAAACTGTCTAAATAGGAAACCAACTTCCACGAATAGGAAACTGTCTAAATAAGAAACCAACTTCCACAAATAGGAAACTGTCTAAATACAGAAACCAACTTCCACGAATAGGAAACTGTCTAAATAAGAAACCAACTTCCACAAATAGGAAACTGTCTAAAAAAGAAACCAACTTCCACAAATAGGAAACTGTCTAAATACAAAACCAACTTCCACGGAAACTGTCTAAATAAGAAACCAACTTCCACAAATAGGAAACTGTCTAAATCAGAAACCAACTTCCACAAATAGGAAACTGTCTAAATAGGAAACCAACTTCCACGAATAGGAAACTGTCTAAATCAGAAACCAACTTCCACGAATAGGAAACTGTCTAAATCAGAAACCAACTTCCACGAATAGGAAACTGTCTAAATAGGAAACCAACTTCCACGAATAGGAAACTGTCTAAATAGGAAACCAACTTCCACAAATAGGAAACTGTCTAAATCAGAAACCAACTTCCACAATAGGAAACTGTCTAAATCAGAAACCAACTTCCACAAATAGGAAACTGTCTAAATAGAAACCAACTTCCACAAATAGGAAACTGTCTAAATAGAAACCAACTTCCACAAATAGGAAACTGTCTAAATCAGAAACCAACTTCCACGAATAGGAAACTGTCTAAATCAGAAACCAACTTCCACGAATAGGAAACTGTCTAAATCAGAAACCAACTTCCACGAATAGGAAACTGTCTAAATCAGAAACCAACTTCCACGAATAGGAAACTGTCTAAATCAGAAACCAACTTCCACGAATAGGAAACTGTCTAAATCAGAAACCAACTTCCACGAATAGGAAACTGTCTAAATCAGAAACCAACTTCCACGAATAGGAAACTGTCTAAATAAGAAACCAACTTCCACGAATAGGAAACTGTCTAAATAAGAAACCAACTTCCACGAATAGGAAACTGTCTAAATAAGAAACCAACTTCCACGAATAGGAAACTGTCTAAATCAGAAACCAACTTCCACAAATAGGAAACTGTCTAAATCAGAAACCAACTTCCACAAATAGGAAACTGTCTAAATCAGAAACCAACTTCCACGAATAGGAAACTGTCTAAATCAGAAACCAACTTCCACGAATAGGAAACTGTCTAAATAGGAAACCAACTTCCACGAATAGGAAACTGTCTAAATCAGAAACCAACTTCCACGAATAGGAAACTGTCTAAATACACAAATAGGAAATCTAAATCAGAAACCAACTTCCACGAATAGGAAACTGTCTAAATAAGAAACCAACTTCCACGAATAGGAAACTGTCTAAATCAGAAACCAACTTCCACGAAACCAACTAGGAAACTGTCTAAATAGAAACCAACTTCCGCGAATAGGAAACTGTCTAAATAAAACCAACTTCCACAAATAGGAAACTGTCTAAATCAGAAACCAACTTCCACGAATAGGAAACTGTCTAAATACAGAAACCACAACTTCCACGAATAGGAAACTGTCTAAATAGGAAACCAACTTCCACAAATAGGAAACTGTCTAAATCAGAAACCAACTTCCACAAATAGGAAACTGTCTAAATCAGAAACCAACTTCCACGAATAGGAAACTGTCTAAATCAGAAACCAACTTCCACAAATAGGAAACTGTCTAAATAGAAACCAACTTCAACTAATAGGAAACTGTCTAAATAGAAACCAACTTCCACAAATAGGAAACTGTCTAAATCAGAAACCAACTTCCACGAATAGGAAACTGTCTAAATCAGAAACCAACTTCCACAAATAGGAAACTGTCTAAATCAGAAACCAACTTCCACGAATAGGAAACTGTCTAAATCAGAAACCAACTTCCACGAATAGGAAACTGTCTAAATCAGAAACCAACTTCCACGAATAGGAAACTGTCTAAATAAGAAACCAACTTCCACGAATAGGAAACTGTCTAAATCAGAAACCAACTTCCACAAATAGGAAACTGTCTAAATACAAAACCAACTTCCACGAATAGGAAACTGTCTAAATCAGAAACCAACTTCCACAAATAGGAAACTGTCTAAATAGGAAACCAACTTCCACGAATAGGAAACTGTCTAAATACAAAACCAACTTCCACGAATAGGAAACTGTCTAAATAGGAAACTAACTTCCACTAATAGGAAACTGTCTAAATAGGAAACCAACTTCCACGAATAGGAAACTGTCTAAATAGGAAACCAACTTCCAGAAATAAGAAACTGTCTGTAACGGCACCCCAGGCATAAAAGGGGTTAAACCGCCTTTTAGAAGATATTCCCCTTCAGATATACAGGCAGCTACCGTAGACACCAATCCACTGAACCGGAGAAGCATTGAATGCTCTCAAACATACGAATGCTGTAAACGGCCGAATAGGAAAAACCATACGAATAGGTTTACACTACCAGCAGTCGAACTGGAACAGCATTCAATAAATCCCCCCAAGAATGAGACAAAGCTCCGTTTTGAGGGTCAAGCAGGAACAGAGCTGTGGGTTTATTGTTCTTATATACACATTCCTACACATTAGTACCACCCACAGGGTTTTGGAACACAACCAATAAACACATACAATACACTCAGACACTCCCACACAAAATCCTCCCCTCTGCCTGTGATACAATTACCTTACACAATGGGTAATATAATTATCACAGGCAGAGAAATACAGTTTTTCCACATTATAAATAATTTAAAAGTATGCATCACATTCACATAAAACTTACATTTTCAGAATCAGCATACTCCAAATACAAACATACGTCAAAATCATACAAATTGGTCCAATGGTTCAAAAGATAGATCGTAGTCCTTTGTGACCAAAGGAAGCATGGCTTTTCTGCCCAAAACTAGTTCCACAGAGTCTTCTATCCTGGAGATAATTGGGAAGTAATCCAATTATTTCCAAGGACAGAGGCAAAACTCCATTGAACACATGGCAGCAAAAGACAATAAAATACATAAAAATATATAACTGTGCAGCCATTGCATAAAACAGGTACATTCAACATATCCCCAGATAGCTCAGATCTGAGCGCACATTATTACTGAATTGCGCTCAGAGCACACACATACAGTTCAATTTCCATGGAGCCAAAGTCTTTCCCATAGTCTTTCATTATACGAATGGGCTCCATGGCATAGCTATCTGGGGTATCACTGCTCAAACAGGGAAAGCACCGAATCACCCGGCTCTCGTGTCTTCGCAGGGGAAAATCAAGCGTTTCAACATGGGGCCATAGTCTAAAGAGAGCAGGCGGGCAACCAGGCTCCTCCAATGCAATGTGGCGAGATTGCTCTCGTTACACTGTCTACCGTATATACTCGTGTATGAGTCGATCTCGTGTATAAGTCGAGTGCAGTTTTGTAACCAACAATTGTGAAATATGCTATGCCTCGTGGATAAGTCGAGGGTAACATTTGGGGCTATGAAATTCTGTGATTTTTTATAATTATATATACACACACACTCATACAAACACACACTCTGCATTACATACACTGCATTATATACACACACACTCATATAAACACACACTGCATTATATACACACACACTCATACAAGCACACATTCTGTGTGTATATTTATTTATTTATTTATTTATTTATAAATATTTTACCAGGAAAGATACATTGAGATTTCTCTCGTTTTCAAGTATGTCCTGGGTCCACAAATCATTGCATTGTTACATTAGGTACAACAAAATAAAAAAACAATATTAATACACAATATATACAAAATTTAACATAGAACAGGCAGGAAATATATAATCAACCATGACACGTGCATTCTGTTTTGAGGTATGTAGAGAGGGATCTCTTAAATGACTTTAGGCTTAGGGAAGATTTTAAATTGTGCGGGAGGTCGTTCCACAATTGCGGCGCTCTGTAGGAGAAGGAGGATCGGGCCGCTTTCTTTTTGTATTGAGGTAGACTAAGTAAAGTGCTTGTACTGGATCGGAGGTTATAGAAAGTGGGAACAGCTGGGGAAAGCATTTTGTTCAGGTAGGGTGTGAGTTTACCAGAAAAGCTCTTAAAAACAAGGCTGGAAAGATGAAGGGTGCGTCTGGATTCCAACGACAGCCAGTTTAGTTCCTTTAGCATGTCACAATGATGGGTCCTGTAATTACATTGTAGCACAAATCTGCAGAACGAGTTATACAATGTGTTGAGTTTATTAATGTGGGATCGCGATGCAGACGCATATACTACATCCCCATAATCAATGATTGGCATCAGCATTTGCTGTACAATCTTTTCCTTTACTGTAGGTAGTTTTTCTTCTTTTAAATATGGTCTCCTCCTTTACTGTGTTGATTCCCTTTATATATTTAAATGTTTCTATCATATCCCCCCGTCTCATCTTTCCTCCAAGCTATACGTGTTAAGATCATTTAACCTTATCTGGTAAGTTTTATCCCGCAATCCATGAACCAGTTTAGTAGCCCTTGTATATAATGCAGAGTGTGTGTTTGTGTAGTGTATGTGAACTGGGTGGGCATTTTTATTAATTTAAATTTTAATATTTTTTTATTTATTATTATTTTATTGTTTAATATTTATTTTTGTCCCCCTTAAAGGGATTTAGGGGTGATTATTTCTGATGACTTAAAGGTAGGCAGACAATGTAATAGAGCAGCAGGAAATGCTAGCAGAATGCTTGGTTGTATAGGGAGAGGTATTAGCAATAGAAAGAGGGAAGTGTGCATGCCATTGTACAGAATACTGGTGAGACCTCACTTGGAGTATTGTACACAGTACTGGAGACCGTATCTTTAGAAGGATATTGATACCTTAGAGAGGGTTCAGAGAAGGGCTACTAAACTGGTTCATGGATTGCGGGATAAAACTTACCAGATAAGGTTAAATGATCTTAACACGTATAGCTTGGAGGAAAGATGAGACGGGGGGATATGATAGAAACATTTAAATATATAAAGGGAATCAACACAGTAAAGGAGGAGACCATATTTAAAAGAAGAAAAACTACCACAACAAGAGGACATAGTCTTAAATTAGAGGGGCAAGGGTTTAAAAATAATATCAGGAAGTATTACTTTACTGAGAGGGTAGTGGATGCATGGAATAGCCTTCCAGCTGAAGTGGTAGAGGTTAATACCGTGAAGGAGTTTAAGCATACATGGGATAAACATAACGCTATCTTAGATATAAGAGACTAATGAAAGTAGTTTAGAAAATTGGGCAGACTAGATGGGCCGAATGGTTCTTATATGCCGTCACATTCTATGTTTCTCCCTGCTTGTTACTTGGTCAGGGAGGGGGGGGCTATCTTAATCCCTGGTGGTCCAGTGGATGGGCTGTGCAGGGGGGGAGCTGGCAGCAAGCTGTTACTTACCTTTGTAGCAGCTCCGGTCAGCTCCCTTCACCTCTGTGCAGCTCCCTGTGTAAATCTCGTGGTCTGTGGCAATGCTCTGACGGTCACGGGTCTCTCGAGACTTACAGTGGGAGCTGACAGGGGAGCTGTATGGAGGTGAAGGGAGCTGACCGGAGCTGCTACAAAGGTAAGTAACAGCTCGCTGCCAGCCCCCAACAGGACGCGGCCCTGGTCTGTATTATGGCAATGTATACAGACCTTGACTCGAGTATAAGTCGAGTGGGGCTTTTTCGGCACAAAAAAAATGTGCTGAAAAACTCGACTTATACTCGAGTACATACGGTAAATAGGAAACCAACTTCCACGAATAGGATATAGTGTGTGTGTGTACTGTGAAATGTATTGCCTGCTCTCCTGTACTGCTGAGGTTTGCTACCAACTAGGTGGGTTTGGCTATGGAGCTTGTCTAATGCCCTCTGTTGGTAGCAACAGCAATATACACTACCTGAATAGCAAGACTGGTTCATTTGCATATTCGGGTAGATTTGCATATTGCTAATTCTGCAGGCACGTGAGATATTTTCTGTTAATCATTGTCTCCCCCACCCCTTTAAAAATATGCCATTGTGTTATCATAAGTCACTGTATGTTGCCTGCTATGATTTGACTGTTTATAATTTTATTGAGTTTTTACAGCAATGTTAATGTAATTATTATTATTATTATTATATTTATAGAGCGCTGTCAAATTCCGCAGCGCTTTACAATGGATGGACGAACAGACATGTAGTTTTAACCAGACAAGTTGGACACACAGGAACAGAGGGGTTGAGGGCCCTGCTCAATGAGTTTACATGCTAGAAGGAGTGGGGTAAAATGACACAAAAAGGTAAAGATAGTATTAGACTAGTGACAGTTGCAGAAGAGGAATCAGTCAGGAGCTATGACCATATGGGCTAGTCCCAAGTAAAATAAAGTTTTAGTCAGTTCTTCTTTACCCTTCAAAACGTAGCCTCGTCTCGTTATTGGAGGGAACTGCTATAATCACACTGGGGTTTGCTATGCTCTGCATACTCCCTTGAGCTTTAATCACTTAGCTCTTTTAAGAGCTTGTTCCTGATATGCTCTCCTGGAGGAGAGATCTTCCCCACACGGTCCTGGAGGACAGAAGCCGATCCAGGGTGGACAGAAGACGGCGAGACTCCAGTTAAGCTACGGCAGTTGTGGAGTCTGCGGTGGTTGTGGTGTCCAGTGCGGTGCTTATAAAAATATATTAAAAAAATTAGTGTAAAATAACTAAAACAATTATTAATTCTTATCTTATAAAAAGGATTTAAAAAAAAAAAAAAGATAGATATCCTAAAACAGAAAATGGTATAATATTTATTAGAGGGAGGGAATGGATTCAATGAGATGGCAAGAATTTATGTCAAGAAATGGTACAACTCAAAATACGCATTTAATCCGTTTGGGATCAGCGTATTTAATTTAAAAATCCATTCCATTTCTATCTTACTGAGTTTTAAATCATAATGTCCTCCTCGCCAATTTTTTTCCACTTTTTTTTTATGCCCAGAAATATTGTATCTTTTAATTCACAATTGTGACATTATTTATAGTGGAAAGAAACACTGTGTTTTTTAAAACCTTTGACAATGTTTCTGGCATATTCCTCTATTCTAATGTGCAGGGCTCTAGTAGTGTTTTCCAATATAATAAAGGCCACATGGGCATTGTATGAGATATATAACATTTTTGGAATAACTTGTTATAAATTCTTTAATTGGGTACTCAATTCCCTCTTTAGTTTTAAAATTGTTATAGTTTCTTTGTGACAAACTCCCCCTTTTAAGGGAGTTTGCCATGAGTTTTTGGAGGGGCCTGCTTGCTCGTCTCCTGACCTGTGGCTATGGCCCCTGGGATGTATTGCCCTTTAAAAGCGTTATTTGGGCATATTGGATTTTAAAACACTTTTTCTGCCCTTTAAATCCATGGGAAAATGTGCCTCGTCCCCTCCCCCTTTTTCCTGTCATATTGTTCTCCAGCAGGGCGTTGTCCCAGGGACACTGCCAGACCAGTTGAAACTGGCTGCTTTGTCCCTCCTCAGTCTCTTATCAGCCCTTGCTATTGTTTAACCCCATGGCGATCCAACTGTATTCGTGAGATCTGAGCGTTTTTCAGACATATTGAGCGCTCAGATCCAAGCTATCTGGGGATATGTTGGACATATAGGTTAAACATTGTATTATATGAGTTATGTATTTTTATGTGTTTTTTTTGACTTAGAGATATTTCCTATTACTGGAGATAATTGGCTTACCACAGCCACTTAAGCTAATTATCTCCAGGATAGAGGAGAAGATAGACCGGCTGCAAAGCCTAAATCTGTGGAACTGTTTTGGGCATGAAAGCCATGCTTGCAGTCGGTCAAATGTGACTTCCATAAAACTTTTGAACCCCTGCTCTGACCTGGGTGATTTTTGGATATGTTGTTCACCCAGATCAGAGCTATCCAGATTTATGGGGATATGTTGTTGTTTTGGGGTGTTTCTGTGTTTTGGGTAAAAACTGTATATTTTCTGCCTGGGGTAATTAAGTTAGCCCATTGTGTTCAGTAATTATATCACAGACAGAGGGGAGGGTCTGTGTGCCTTAGCTGGGAGTGTCTGACTGTACGGTGCTGTGTTGATTGGCTGTTGTAACTTTGTGTCCTGTGTACCACAAGGTCCACGTGGGTGGTAACGTTGTGGGAAAATGTGTATATAAGAAAGTCCTGTGTGCTCATTAAACCAGTTCTACTTCACCCTCAATCTAGAGTCCTGTCTCTTATTGGGGGAATCTGCTACAAGGGATTGCTATGCTCTTCATACACCCTTGAATAATCACTAAGCTTTTTTAAGAGCTTGTTCCTACTTCGCTCTCTGGGGAAAGAGAGGTTCACC